CCACAGCATATGGTCTCTTCAAGTTCTTGTAGTGTGTTTGAAGGAAGTCTCCAGCCTTATTGATGCTACCCCCAAGGTTCTATGAGAAAAAGATTGGGTATTCTGGTCAGGTGGGCACTGCTGCCCCAGAGAGCTGACAAGGATCACATAATCACCACTTCCTGTGCATAATGTTTCTGGCCTTGGTACATATTTGTCTTGGATCTGTCTATTTTTAAGGGTTCCCCAGACAGTTTAGCCACTGTGCACTGCTCTGTTACTGAGTACCTATCATGTTCCTGGTGCAGTCTGTATACTAGTGGTGTGCTAGTAAATATTTAATAACCAGTTGTCTAGTCAGTGCAGGAGGTGGTGGTTAGGGGAGCTGGTTTACTGATTGCCAATGACTGTGATGTAAATACTCCCACCATGCCAATTTCAAGCTACCTTAACACAGCGTGGGAAAGAGATGCCCCAAATAGGCACCCAGGGTTAGCACACCACTGGGTCCACCTATTATCTAATCATCATCATCATTGTAGCTAACACTTAGTATGTGCTAGTCACATATCAACTCATTTAATCTCAAAATCCTATGAGGTAGTTTTATTTTCATCACCATCCCTACTGCACAGAGGAGAACACTGAGACCCATGAGATGAGGTGCAGAGGCAGATATGCTTTGTAGTGATTTTTATAGTGTAAATACAACCACGCCTGATTTCAACCTACCAGCATGGAGTCACTGACTGTAGAATTGGGAAGAGATCATATAGTTTGTCCACCGTATATGTACAACAGACATAAATAACCTCAAGATCATGGATAATGATGAAAGGTAGTAAAATAATTAAGAAGTGATGAGTTTTGAGGGTTTACTACCTTTGTTGTTGTTTTTCTCTTAATTGGTTTTTAGGGAGAGAGAGGGGCGGGGAGAGAAAGAGGGATCAGTTTGTTGTTCCACCTATCTATACATTCATTGGCTGTTTCTGGTATGTGCCCCAACTGGAGATCGAACTGCACCTTGGCATAATGGGATGATGCTCCAACCAACTGAGCTACCTGGCCAGGGCTACTACCTTTGTTTTTATGTGTAGTGTTTAGACTAATTTATTTAAGTGTAAGTTTATATACTTTAATATTTAATAGTGATTGCGTTCAACAATCAACTTGCAATATTCCTGGAATACTAACCATTGGTTTTATGAAGGTAATTCCATCAAGCTCTTTATTAGAACCCCAGCAGTCTAGTTCCACAGCCTATGCCATACTCCATTATAAGGGTGCTGTGTTGTAGTAGAAAATGTCACTACGTTGTAGTAGAAATTAATCCTTTTGCCTGCCCTCTGTCTCTCCTATATCCACCCTTGACTTTTGTAGGACCTTCTCCTTCCTGTCATTTACATGGCCACAGTGGAACAGTCATATTTGCCCAGGAAGACCTACTTCCTGGTCTCAGCTCATTGATCCAGAAGTGATCACCTGACCCAGGCTGAGCCAATCAGAATCCTTTCCTAAGAATCTGGAATATTTAGCCTTGGGCTAGGAATTTCCCCAAGGAAGGCAATTCTGTTCTGCCAGGTAGGCTGGGTGGCAGGAAAGCTGAATTATTGGGCAAAAGGGGCATGAAGGACACAGGAAGAGGAACAAAGCATCCTGGTCGAATCCGTAAGATTCCTTTTATCCTTGCACTTGATAAATTCTTAGATTCTTAAAATAATTCCCCCATCTACAGGGTGGGGCAAAAGTATGTTTATAGTTGTTTGTACATAAAATAATACAGTAATTAATATTATCCGGCGATCGGAGGGTGATGGAGGTTGAAGCCTCTGGCCGAGGCATCAGGCCTGGGCAGGGGGCGGAGCCGGCAATCGGAGGGGTCTGGGGTCCCCTGCCCAGGTCTGACACCTCTGGCAGAGGCATCAGGGCTGGGCTAGGGATGGATCAGGCGATCAGAGGGAGATGAGGGTCGATTCCTCAGGCCCAGGCGTCAGGCCTGGGCGAGGGCGGAGCAGGTGATGGGGGGGGAGATAGGGGTCCCCTGCCCAGGCCTGACACCTCTGGCAGAGGTGTCAGGCTTGGTAGGGGGGCGGAGCCGGTGATGGGGGGAGATGGGGTCCCCTGCCCAGGCCTGATGCCTGGGCCAGAGGCGTCAGGCCTGGGGCGGGGGTGGAGGGGGTGGGGGGTGAGGGGGTTGGGGGTGGAAGTGGGGTGGGGGGACAAGCCAGAGATTGGTGTGAATTATAGAGGAAACACCTTTTCTGACCGCTCATTGGCTAAGCTCCCTGTATGCCACTGGTAATATTCTTAGTAACTTGGGTAATAAGAATCCAAAAAGGTGATCTAGGGTTTTTTACCACACCCTGAAAAAAACAAAGGTCTGCTGCTGGAGAACTAAGAAATGTCATATCCTACCCTAGCCGGTTTGGCTCAGTGGATAATGCCTTGGCCTGCCGATGGCAGGGTCTGAGTTAAATTCTGACAAAGGGCATGTACCTAGGTTGCAGGCTCCTCCCTGGCCGGGGCCCAGGTCAGGGCTCATGCAGGAGGCAACCAATCAAAGTGTTCCTCTCACTTTGATGTTTCTCTCTGTCTTTCCCTTTCTCTTCCACATTCTCTAAAAATTAATGGAAACATATCCTCAGGTGAGGATAAAAAAAATAATAAAGAAATTATTATTATATGAAAGACACATCTTGAAAATGCCTAAAGAAAGTTGTCATTTTTTCATGGTGAAGGGACTGGAGTCCCTGTTGATGAAAAAACCTTGCTGGCTGTGGTGACTGGCAGTGGCTGCAGCAGCGGGCTGATGGGGCTAGTGCCTTCCCCTGATCAGCCCGGTCACCTCCCACAAAGGGAGGCCAGACTACAGCTTAGGCCCTATCCCCAAGGGGAGCAGGGAGCGGGCCCAAGCCATCACTAGGACATCCCCTGAGGGATCCCAGTATGTGAGAGGGGGCAGGCTGGGCTGAGGGACACCCCCCCACCCCCAGTGCACTGGGCCCCTAGTTAAAAAATAATAAGAAAACAATAAACTCTGTGTTACCCATACTCAACTGTAAACCTACTTTTGCCTCACCCTGTGTTTTTGCATAATGTAGCTCATACATGTGTTACATCTAGAACAACTTAGAGAGTCCTAAAAATACAAAAATTATTATACTTATTTTACAGATGCACACACTGAGGCCCAGGAAGGGCAAGTGCCTGTGAGTTATGATCTAAATTTAGATCTGTCTGACCCCACTGCCCTAGAGCCGTCTCTTTTCTAACCATAATTTCTTACAAATCGCTAAGTTTGAACCAGAAAGGCCTGAGTTCTCCTTGGCCTTAAAGATAACAGCCTTCCTCTCCTTCCTCTCTTTTCTGGGGTCCTGAGGAGGGAGATCAGCTGGTGAAATTGGGATCCTGGAGTTCCCCACTTGGAAAGCTAAAGGTCAAACAACCCACTCTCAAAACCGCAGGACAAAGCAGATGTCGCAATTACAGAACATCCACGATGGCTGTGCCCGGGTGTGTGTGGGGGGCAGTGGGGGAGGGTGCGGAGGAGGGCAGGGCAGGGCACACTTACATTGACCTGTCCCTCGCAAATATCTTTAGCCTCCTGCAGCGCGATGAGAACGAAGGCTGTGAGGGACACATCTTTCTCCTCAGCATCATTCAAGCCACCCTAGGGTGTGGAGGAGGGAGTAAGGATGGGGTCACCCATGTGCCCCTCATGCCAACCACCCCCCTGTAGGATCAGCGGGGCAGGGCAGGGGTGGGTCTGTCCCCAGTGTCTCACAGGAGGGCCATACGCTAGTATCCATTCATTCACTCACTCATTCTGTAAATGTTGCTGGTGTTGTGGGTAGGATGGCTCCAGCCCTCATGGAGCTCCCCATCTCGTAGGGGAGACAGGCATGAGCCAAACAGCTCATCACAGATCTATCGTTACAAACTGATGAGAGCTGCGCAGAAGTGGATGTGGCAGTGAGAATGGATAGTGGGGGGAGGTGTCTTGGTCAGGGCAGTTGGAAAGGCGTCCCCAAGGGATGAGAGGTGGAGCCACAATCTGAGGAGTGAGTAGGACTCAACTGTCAAAGAGGGCAGTGGTAACATGCCAGGCAGTGGGAACAGCATGTGCCAAGGCCCTGTGCCCAGGAGCAAGGCTCCAGGCAGTACAGATGGAGTGTGGAGAGGGAAGGCTGTGAGGCTGGGAGCCCGAAAGCACAGGCTGAAGCCGTGGTTTGCTCACTTGAGCACATGTCAGCATTACCTGGAGTCAGGGGGCTTATTAAAACCCTGATTCCTAGACCCCACCCCCAAAGTTTCTGATTAGAGCATGTGGATCCAGCCCAAGAAGGTCCATTTCTAACAAACTTGCAGCTGATGCTGGTGCTTTTGGACTGGAGACCAGAGTTTGAGGACCACAATTCTAAGGAGTTCTCAGGTGTTTTTTTTTTTTTTTCAAAGCAATGGGGGGCTAGGGAAGTTTCATTTTGCACTGGACCCTGAGGTCTCTGGTTTTTGCAAAGGAGAAGTGACCTTTGTTGCTCCTTTATTTCTCTGTCCATCCCACGCTGGGAATTGGGCAAATGGCAGACAGAGCCTGTCTCCTGTCCATGCGGGGGCACTCAGGCACTCCTCTCCCCCAGCCTGCCCTGAATCCTGGCCTCTTACAGTCATTTGTAGTTGTCCCACGGGTGAATCCTCCTGGAAGACTCCATCAGGCCTCTGCTTCTCCAGGATCAGCCACTTGACAGCCCCACAGATGACTTCGGAGTCAATGGTGATGAGGTTGGCGGCCAGAGAGAAGACCTTGACCACGTAGGCTGTCAGCCTGGGGTGGGCACAGAGCATGAGCCAATTGGCTCTGGGATCCAGAGACTGCCATCCCAGCCAAGCAAGGAGCAGAGAGGGGCAGGGCCTGCTCAGGTGTGCCCAGTTTCCCAGGCCAGGTCTCAGGACCCAATGTTGCTTGTAGGCAGTGCTTAGTGACAGTAGGTCACTCAGCTAGTGGGCACCTTGACTCTGAAGGTGGAGGGGTCCAGAGGCACAGGATTGTGTGGGGGAGGCCAGCCTAGATCACCCCAGGTCTGGGCCCAGGCCTTGCTCAAAGGATGCAGGGCCAAGGATGGGCAGGCTCACCAGGTGCTGGACTTCATATTCAGGAAGGCCGCAAAGGCCTTGTTGGGTTGCCTGAAGGCCAGTTGCTGTGTGTACCCTGCAAGGAAGAGAGAAGTGTCACTGGGGGAGCGAGGGCTGAGTGGAGGCAGTGGCTGGTGTGGGTATGCCAGGAAGGAGAGAGGCTTAGAGAGAAACAAAGATTCTGTGAAGGGGGGAAGGTGAGGTTCAGAGAGGATAGAGGTTGCTCAGGACCAGGAGGAATGTCTAGAGGGGAGGGGAGCTTATAGGGTGCAGGGACTCTGAAAACGTTCAGGAAAGGGTGAGGAGGGGTAAGGGCTTCTCAGAGGAGAAGGCGTTTAGAGAGAGAAGGGCTCTTAGGGGGGGTCATTGGGAGAGGGAACTCAGAGGGACAAGGGTCTGAAAGAGGGGAGAGCAGGAGGTGTCAGAGAAGGGGCGGGGCCTCTAGAGGGGGCGGGGCCTCAGAGGAGGAAGGAGCTCAGAGAGGGGCCTCAGAATGGGGGCCTCCAATAGGGGACGGGACATACCATTCTTGATGAGGTCCAGGGCCTCCTGCCGCTTGTCAATGCCAAACTTGTCCCACTGCTCAGTGTGGTCCAGGTAGTGCACTGCGATGACCGTGGGCGTCACACTAATCATGTTCTGCTCTCCATTGCCCGAGGGGGTCACAATGAGGTGTTTCAGCTGCTCCCCATCAATGGCCTCCTCTGCCATCTGGGCCACTGGGGTCCCTGCAGCCAGGAGGAAGGATGGCGTTCAAGCAATGAGATGCACTATGGGGTGAAGAGGGTCAGGGCTACTCCCAGCCTTCCCAGGCTCCAACCAGCCAGGGCCAAAGAGTCAGGGAGTCAGGGACAGCTGGCGGCTGGAGGCATGTGGCTGAAGGGGGCTAGGGGGGTTGTCCATGGGTCCTCATGTGCCACCAGTGGTAAAATAATTCCAGGAACAATGGTCATGAATACGTCTATCATGCTTAATGCCGTTTGCCAAGCTCCCTTCTAAGAGAACACTATATAGCATCTCATTTAATTTTCCCAACAATCCTCGAAACAGGTACCGCTATTTGCCTTCATCACAGATCAGGAAACCAAGAGTCTCTGTCCCAAACCTAAGAGCTCAGAGGTTGCAAGGGGCTTTGCTAGCTCCTTGTGTGCCTTCTCCTCCCAGTCCTCAATCCTGGGCAATTCGTTCCAGAATTTCTGTTCTTGAACTCTATCACTTCTCATTGAAGCTTCTTTAGCAGCAGAAGCTAAGTACTGCCTGGAGCCTTCTGTGAGCACACCAAGCAGAGGCTGTTCTAGCACATGAGAAGGAGGGAGGCATCATGGTTCAATATTCCCGGAAGTGATGGAACTGGGTGCCCTCTTCAGGGGTCATGGCTCCCACACCTTCCTGGGCCCCATGGGGTTGGACCAAGGCCATCTCACCCTGCAGGAGGATCCGAGTTTCTGACTCTGTGTCAGGGATTTGGTCACTGAGGTCTGCAGCCTCGACCTCCACTCGCTGCACACCGTCTGTTGGTGGAATGGGAGACACCCTTGGCACCAGCCTCCTTTCACCAGGCCCTGAACACCACCCAGGCCTCACCCCCACTCCTGCCCTGACTCACTTTGGCCCAGGTGTTGTGGATCCAGTGTCTTAACGGCCACAGTCTTGTTCATTCTGATTCCTTCAGGCTGCACAGTGTTGAGGGAAGGGGGAGGTGGGTGAATACAAGGACAGACAGAGCCACAGCTGGTCAGCAGGGCACTGTTCTGGGGATTACTGTAGCCTAGATGGTATCTACCAGTCTTAGCTGTGTGACTGGGAGCCAGTAACTTAACCTCTCTGTGTCTCAGCTTCCTTCCTTCCTTATAGGGAGGAGGCAATACAAACATCTACCTCATACTATTGTATGATATAATAACAACATTATAAATTAATAACAATAATACAACAAAGCCTTTAGAAATCTTCCTATGTGCCTAGAAGCTTTCTTTATTCAGGTTAACTCATTTAGGGTACTGCTATTACCATTCCCATTTTAAAGATGGGGAAACGGGCCCTGGCCGGTGTGGCTCAGTTGGTTGGGCTTGTCCCATACACAGAAAGGTTTCCGGTTTGATTCCAGGTCAGGGCACATACCCAGGTTCCAGGCTTGATCCCAGGTAGAGGGCATACAGGAAGCATTCGATGTATATATCACTCTCACATTAAGTTTCTCTCTCTCCCTCTCCTTTGCACTCTCTCTCTCAAAGTCAATAAAATATCTTAAAACAAAACACAAACTTATAAAGATGGGAAAACTGGAGAACAGAGAGCTGAAGTAACTTGCCCAGAGTCACAGAGCTTGTAGAACAGAACTGGAGTATGAGCCTCATAAATGCTATAATGTATTTTATTTGAAAATTTGATAAATATATAAATAAAATATTAGTGATCTTGCTTATGAACTTGTTTTGCTTTAAAATATTTAAAAAATGACAAAAGGAGATTCCTTAAAAAATTAAAAATGGAACTTACATTCGACCCAGTAATCACACTTCTGGAAATATATGCGAAGAGAAACACCAATCAGAAAGGACATATGCACCCCTATGTTCATAGCAGCACAATTTACAATAGCTAAGATTTGGAAACAGCCTAAGTGCCCATCAGCAGATGAGTGGATTAAACTGTGGTACCTCTACATGTGCATATTAGCATAACCAATGGACATGGACACTGGGGCAGTGGGGTCTTGTCCTGGGGGGCGGGTGTGGTGATGGTGGTGGTGGGGTCAATCGGGGAAAAGGAGACATATGTAATATCTTAAACAATAAAAACATAGTGATAAAAATATTCACAAGAGAAAAAATGACAAAAGCCTTTTACTGATGATTCTATCTCTTATTATATTTGAAAGTGTTCCAAACTATGTGAAACAGTAATAATGTAACTGTTAATGTATATTTTAAGGCCAAAAATCACAGGTAATGGAACATTTGAGATCTTGTTCCCCAACATATGTTAGTCAGTTTGGCTCAATAAACTCATAAAAGTTTAAAAAATTTGAAATCACTGGTAAAAACAGAACTTTGCTGCCTGGTCGGTGTGACTCAGTGTTTGAGTGCTGACACATGAAGCAGGAGGTCAGAGTTCCATTCCAGGTTAGGATGCATGGCTGTGTTGCAGGCTGGACCACAAGTAGGGGGCATGCAGGAGGCAGCCAATCAATGATTCTCATCATTGAAGTTTCTCTCTTTCTCCCTCTCCCTTCCTCTCTCTGAAATCAATAAAAAAGAACATACATTTGGAAACAGCCTAAGTGCCCATCAGCAGATGAGTGGATTAAACTGTAGAACTTTCCTATATTCTATATTTATTCTAAGGTAGTACTTTCCTATATCCCATATCATATATTATTGCTTTATAAAATTTGGTCTGTGAAATATGTTTCCCCCAAAATTTTAAAGTCAAAACAAAACTCTTATACTTAAATGTGTTACAAAATATCATATTTGATGTTAAACTATATTTTAAGGAAAACAATTTTTTATCTTTACTGCTGAGGTTTGGGCACCCCCTTAGAATTTTATGCGCAGAAGAATGTCTGCCCTGCCTCACATGGCCCTGCCTTCACACTGCTGGGACTCCTGACTTTCCTAAGCTGAATACGGGCAGCATTAGTGTCTCAGAGCCTGGGGCTCCAAACTGAGTTGACAGCACAAGGAGAGCAAGAGTCCCTCCTGAAGGACAAGAGGCAGCAGGTGCCCCAAGGACTCACCACGACCTTCAGGGTCTTCCTTACACCGTCGGTGATGAAGTACCGATAGACAGTGGCCTTGACCTCTACTTCCTGCAAGCCGACCGTCAGAGGCACAATGACATAAGGCACGGCCAGCGAGGACTTGGGAGGGATGGATACAGTCTGCAGGTGACGCTTCTTGGCAGTGGCCAAGCTGCAGAAGGCTGGATTGTAGAGCATTTCTACTCTCACCTGCCAGGGAGAGAGTATCAGGTCAGGGGCATGCACCATGGGCCCCTCTCCAGGTCTCCCCTCGTGCCTCTCCTGCTCCAAGGACCCACCGTGAGCGTATCTTCTTCCCGGTAGTTGTAGAGGACAGCTCGGATCTCCACGTGCTCATTACGAACCACAGAGTAGGGCAGCTGCAGGTCAATGAAGAAATCTTGCACCACTGTCACCTCATAGGGGTCAGCCACACAGATCCCTGCCCAGGGGAACAGAACATGAGTGTCAGGGGTAAGGGATGGGCAGGGTGGACAGGGTCCAAGTTCAGTTCCAAGTTCCTGCCTGTCAAGGCTTATCCCTGACCACGGGAGCTGTCCGGAGCTCAGCTTGTTTTTGTAGACGTCCATAGACTAGAGAATGTTGATGGTGATGAATTACAAATGATAGTGGTAGCTGGGAGTTGCCAGGATTTAGCGATGTCTTTTGAATTTTACTCAGAGAGAGAAGGTGGAGGAGGAAAGCGAGTCAGACTCACTGAAGGGTCCATCTGTGCTTCCCAAAATGCTAGCCCCCAGCCCCGTGTGGTCACTGGGGACTGGAAAGGTGGCTAGCTCGAAGAGGAACTGGATTTCTACTTTTATTTCATTTTAGCTAACTCAGATTTCAACTTCCAAACTAGTGCTCGTGAATATACTGAAATAATATACTGACCAAGGGTGACTTTTATGGTATGTAAATTATATCCCGATTTTAAACATGCCATGGGGGCAGGATGGGAGAGGACAATGGGGGAAAAGGGTCAAATGTCATACTTTCAACAATAAAGAATTTTTTTAGATGCCCATGGACACAGACAATAGAGTGGTAAAGGCCTGGAAGGGGCGGGTACAGGGTGGAGGGGGTCAATGGGGAAAAGACAAACAAACAAACAAGGAGGACATCTGTAAGACTTTCAACAATGAAGATACATTTTTGAAAAAATGATGCGTGGCCCCGGCCAGTGTCGCTCAGTTGGTTGAGCATCGTCCTGTGCACCAAAAGGTTGCCCGTTCAATTCTGGTCAGCACACAAGCCCATTTGAGGGCTTCCATGCCCGGTCGGGGCGGGGGCGGGGGGGATTGCGGGAGGCTGCTAATCAATGTTTCACTCTCACATCCAGCTCTCTCTCTCTCTCTCTCTCTCTCTCCCTCTTCTTTCCTCTCGCTCTAAAAATTGATTTAAAAATCTTAAAAACATAACAATAAAAAATGATGCTTGATTTAGTGATTGGAAGACTTTTAAAAGTATGTTTGGAACAACTTGAATATGTCAATCTGCTTTTTCAACTGCAAATTTTATGAATCCTAAAATAGAGATCAAAATGTTTCCCATGAGCCCTAGTCGGTTTGGCTCAGTGGATAGAGCGTTGGCCCACGGACTGAAAGGTCCCGGGTTCGATTCCATGGAAGGGCACATGCCCAAGTTGTTGGCTTGATCCTCAATGGGGGGCATGCAGGAGGCAGCCAATTGATGACTCTCTCTCATGTATGTTTCTAACTCTTCCTCCCTCTCCCTTCCTCTCTCTAAAATCAATAAAAACATTTGTTTTAAAAAAATCAGCTTTACTTAAATAGTAATGAGTTTATTGTTTTAATATCATTATTAGTATGATAGTGGTTTTGCAAACTTTTATAAAATGTGGGAACGATAATATTTTGGATATATTTGGGTGAAATAAAATGTATTTCTGAAATCAGTTTCATCATACTCCTTTTTCATGGGGCTACCAGAAATATAAAATAACACACCCGCCCACATTACATCTTTTCCTTCCTTCCTTCCTTCCTTCCTTCCTTCCTTCCTTCCTTCCTTCCTTCCTTCCTTCCTTCCTTTTATTAAAGGCACTATTATAAGGGCTTTACATGTATTAACTCACAACAATCCTCCCAACAATGCTTAGAGTACGTGCTATTTCTATCCTGTCCATTTTATGGAGGAGCACAGAGAGGTTGAGTAGCTTGATTAAGGCCACACAGTGGCTCCAGCTGAGTGATACTGGAGTCCCAGGCAAAAGAAAACTATGTGCCCCTGTGTAAATGCCCAGGTTTTGAGCTCCATCCCCAGTAGGGGGCGTGCAGGAGGTGGCCCATCCATGTTTTTCTCTCAGGGATCTCTCTCTCTCTCTCTCTCTCTCTCTCTCTCTCTCTCTCTCATCAATAAAAAGGTATTTTTCTTAAATAAGAGAAATTGGCAGAAATTTTCAGTTCCTTCAATTGAAAACGAGATAAGCAAAGAAGCAGAATTTTAAAATCTTGAAGTCACGAAAGTAAAATGATAATAAAGTTTAATTTATTATATATTATAACTAAACAAAATGAGAATACAATATAATAATTCTGGCTTTGGTATAAATAAAATATTTACACTTAATATTATGAGTTTTAATACACCTGCCTTTTAATGTTTTAATATTTTTTGATAAATTTAACCTTTAAATTATACATAGAACCTGCCCTGGCTCTGGTCTCTGTTTAAAGTTGGGATATTTTGTTCATCATTGATTTTTTTGTACTCACTTTTACTTTAAAACTATTGCAGTGGGATATTACTTACCTTGGTGACTGACTTCTTGGCACCCACTTACATTTTGCACTAGAAGTCGGGCCTTCCTTCCCTCACCCCTCCCGGCCCTGCTGTAAACCATCCCCATTTCGCTAGAGCTCCTCGGGTCTCACTCCAGCTGTGGGTGACCGGGGACAGGTAACCTTTTTCTCACGCTTCCCAATCTGACCACCGATGTTTCAATCCCCATTTCATCCTGCTTCCTCCTCTTTCTTAATCACTTTACCCACTATCATGTCGACAGCACCTCCTTAAAAGTTTTTGTGGTTGCGAATTATTCTGTACGATACTGCAATGGTGGACTCATGTCATGGAACATTAGACCAAACCCATAGAATGTACAACACCAAGAGTGAATTCCTACCTTCAGCTATGAACTTGGGGTCTTCACAATTAATTATAACAAATGCACCCATCTGGTGGGGGATGTTGACAGTGGGGCCGCTGTTCATTTGGTTGGGAGTGGCAGAGGGTATATAGGAAATCTCTGTATTTTTTGCTCAAATTTTTAAAATATATATATATTTTTTATTGATTTCAGCGAGGAAGGGTGAGGGAGAGATAGAAGCATCAATGATGAGAGGTAATCATTGATCAGCTGCCTCCTGTACTCTCCCTACTGGGGATCAAGCCTAAAACCAGGGCATGTGCCCTTGAATGGAATCGAACTGGGGACCCTTCAGTCCGCAGGCTGACGCTCTATCCATTGAGCCAAACCAGCTAGGGTTTTGATCCATTACTTAATAGAATCTTTTTTTGTTTTTGTTAATCATCACCCGAGGATATTTTTTCCCACTGATTTTTAGAGGGAATGGAAGGGACGGGGAGAGACAGAGAGAGAAACCTTGTTGTGAGAGAGACACATTCATTGGTTGCCTCCAGCACAGGCCTCAATCCCCTGAAACCAGGGTCTTGACCAGGAAACAAACCCACCACCTTTTGTTGTACAGGCCGACGCTCCAACCACCTGAGCCAAACTGGCCAGGGCCTTTCTGCTCAATTTTGCTGTGAAACTAAAACTCCTCTAAAAATGAAATCAATTTAAAAATAAAAAGCACTGCCCTGCCGGTGTGGCACAGGGATTGAGCATCAACCCATGCACTACGAGGTCACTGGTTTGATTACCAGGGAGGGCAGATATCTGGGTTTGAGCTCCATCCCTAACATGGGGCATGCAGGAGGCAGCCAGCAGAAGTTGATGTTTCTCTCTCATCAATGTTTCTGGTCTCCCTTCCTCTCTCTCTAAAAAATCAAGAAGATATTTAAAATGAAATAAAAAGCACTGGCACCCATCTTGATTCTGATGTACCCGCCTCACCCAGTAACCAGGGGGTAGAGTGTCAGCCACCAAGAAGCAGAGGAGCTATGGGATGGATGAGAAACAGAAATTCCGGGCCGGGG